GAAATATATTTGAAGCATAACGTGTTATGAAAAATAGTATGGTGGAATACTTCATGTGATAACCCTACCTAGTAAGGGAAATGCTGGGCTAGGTGCACCTTGTTTACACCCTAACTAGTAAGGATGATGAACTCACTCGCCATGTTGGCCACACAGGTGTTTTGAAATTTATATACCCATGGCGGTTATGATTTGACATGTATACACATGGAAGGTAATTATTTGATATATACCTATAGTGAGTGATGATTTGATATATATCCATGGGGAGATTATTTGATATATACCCATAGTAGGTGATAATTTAACTTATATACCCATGAGGGGTGATTATCAGATGTATACCCATAATAGGTGATAATTTGATATACACTCATGTGGGTGATGATTTTCTATGCATACTCTTGGTGGATTGTGATGTGATATACACCTTTGGTGGGTTGTAATTTTGGATATGGATTCGATTAAGAAAATTCCTACATTGATAAACTAAAAAAAATTAATTTTTTATGGAATATATATGCATGTATTCATGAATGCGAGATTTGAGCAAAAATAATTTTGTTGTGGAAACATATATAACCATTTTGGTGCTTATATTTTTTTGAGAGAAATTTTGTTGAAAGATTAGCTTAATTTTTCAAAAATATTTTTATATGATACTTGTTCCAATATGTTAGAATAATGTATTATATATCACTGAATCATAAAAACTCAACCCTTTTAAATATTTTTATATAATACTTGTTCCAACATGTTTAGAATATATATTATATCTCATTGAGTCGTAAAAACTCACCTTTTTTAACATTTTTCAAATTCCAACGTAGATCTACTTTTAGGTTCGGCAGTGTAAGCAAAAAATGTAATCCTTTGATAAGCCCAGATGTTGTTTGGGCATGTATGTACCGAATTCTTTTGCAATTCTTTATGTTTTAAATTCATTGAATTTAGTGTATGCTCCATTTGAAACATAGACAGGATCCTTGGTGTATTTTGACTTTAGTTAGCAAATGTCAATTTCTTAGAATGTTTATTATGATAAATTGCCTATTGATTGCTATGAGAACTTCTATGAAAATATTGGAAGGTATAAATTTGGCAAATATCCGATTTTTGAAAGAGATTTTGCCGAAATTCTCAAAAACTTCTAGGTTTAGATGTTTTTTATTTACTTTAACGCTGGCTAGTGTTGATAAACCAACTTTGGCGCTGGTCACGATTCTTGAAATCGGGTCGTGATAGAAATGATGTTTCCCTTAAGAGCCCTAAAATAACTTATTATCTATGTTTAACGAGGGGTCACTAATCACTTGTTGTAAGGCCTCCTTTCTACCTTGTCACCAAGTGCACTCAGTTGTGTTAGATGTGTTGTGAAGCGATGCCTTCCTTGACTTTAATTCAAACTCAATTACTTTTAAATTTATATTTTCAATTTACATGTGTACTTATAACTTGACGTGCATGTGTTTGTAAGTCAACCTGTATACAAGCATGTGCACTGATTGTATAAGTTATTTGCATTGGTATGAAAATAACGATTCGTTGAAATTATGATGATGTAATTTAATTGATTGCATCATTTAAGAGTGAGAGATATTAGAAATATAGTCAGTTGAATTTTTTAATTTAAATTTTGAACAAGGGAGTTAATTAACTTTCCTTAATCCAAAGTTCAAAATCTCTCTCTCTCTCTCTCTCTCTCTCTATATATATATATATATATGATTCAAGAAGAAAGTGAATTCTTTCTCAAATAGAATATTTAACTCTAAAGACATGCACACAAGAGGCAATTAATTAATTAGAAAAAATAGTGAATCATTGCAATCATTTTTAATCAAAAAGTGCATGAATAGAACAAAGAAGTGCGAGTTGGAAATATATATATATATATTCTCAAATTATATTCACACACACAGATATATATATATATATATATAGAGAGAGAGAGAGAGAGAGAGTAGAGGGCAACTTTGAAGGTAACTGATAGTTAAGAGTTTGATTTCCTTTCTTTGTAATACTACGCTCATGACGACGCACAATTCTATCTCTTGTGGGAGAGCACACCGTACGGTATTATCTGTCGAGGGATGTTTATCGCCTCCAATTAGTGCCCACATCCTGACAGCTACTCTTTTTCCTTCTGATGGACTAACTACTATACTAGAGAATAATTTTTTAGATATTTTTAGAATTAAAATATTTTTAAATTGGAAAACCTAAAGGTATTTTAGAATTTTCCACGTGTAATTTACTCGTAAGGGATGTAAATAGCTTGTCTTTCCTTAATTAACTTATTATGAGATATAAATAGCTCATATTTCTATTTAATTAACTAATTAGTCATGTTTATTCCATTACTAAATAAGGATATGGTTATTTAAATCAAATATAATATATGATTTATAATTAGTTCTCTATTGTAATGAACTATTGTTGTCACTTAAGCAATATAGGGGGAAATGAAATATTATTAGTGTAATCTCTAGTATTAAATATTCTGTCACACTCCAAATCCGGGCATGTGACTAGCACTAAGACTGGCACTCCAATCCTAGTAAGCCTCTAATCCAAAACAGAATACAAATTCAAAAAAAATACCAAATAGCATACTATCTTAAATACATCACAACGTTGTCTGAAAAATAAACTAGCGCAACTCTAAAATACGAATACAAGAACAAGTAAGAATGTCAAGCCGTACATCAACTTCTACTTTCCAAGAAATAGACAACTTGGTCAGAAGGGCGACCCCTCGTTACAATCTGGAAAATATAAAAAGATGAGTCGCAAAACTCAATGAATGATAATACAGACTCTAGTCATGCTAGGACATCATCGTAAAATGTGCCAGAACCATACATATAAGTATACAGTGAGCAACTTAGTCAAATTATCAAATAAGCCATACAAGTATGCCTCATGTTCTCAAAACACAATTAATTGATTAAGCTATGTGAGAGTATCTTCTTATATTAGAAATCACATCTCATGACAGTGTATCATGTCAAAAGAATTACATATCACATCAGAATTGGTAATAGAATCAGAATCTCAACTCACGACAAAAGTGTCATGTCGGAGGAGTTGCATATCACATATTACATAGGGATCCCATATCAAAACCAAAATCACAATCACAATCAAAATCAGAACCTAGAATATAGAATAACTCCCAACATAGATTTCAGAAAACAATTATAATAGAGATATGAATTTCAATTAATCATCTATTTTCAAATAACTCACTATGATTTCAAAATAAACGAATACTTTCCTAAATTTAACTTTCCAAAATCAAAAATTATATCACATAAATTATTTCATAATCAGAATAAAATAAACATGCATAGAGCAAGTATTATTGATGATAGTCCAAACTAGAACTAGAAACCCAAAGTACCAAAAACAAGCTCACGGATTGAAACGTGTCTCCTCGAGCGGATCTACAATCACAACATACAGAATCAAAACCAGAACCAAACTCTGCCCACTTGCGGGCTTTAAATAACCAAAACATACTAGAACCCTATTTTGGAACCTTAGCACGCATCCTGAGGTCCTTTACCTCACTCCCGATCCTAAATTAAACGGAACCTATAACCAAACCCCATACAAACATTATCAACCTAGGTTGTACCGAACTTAAAACCTTTAAATCATCCTTAAACTGTCTTTAAAACCATTGAAATGGGCTGAAAACACATTGAACTTGCATTAAAACTATTGAACTGGCCATAAACCCATTGAACTAGTGTTGAATCGACCATAATACCCTTTGATTTTTACTCTTGAAATTTTTTCCCATTTTTCTGTATTTTTCTTTTATTTTTCACTATTTATTTAAAATTTTAAATTTATTATTTCCATGGTTTTTCATCAAAAATTTTCTCAAAATTAAATAAATGACATTTCCTAATTTTTCCAGATTTTTCTTTATTTTTTTTTTAAATTTTTTCCACTTTTCTTTTATTTTTCCTATTTTCTAAAATTCTGAATTTTTTTTTTGGAACCCAGATTTTAGATTTGAGTCTTACCCTAGCCCGCCCCAGCCCGACTCCACATGGGCTATGGCCGCGAGCCGTGCCAAGCCTGCTAGGCCTAAAAAGGCCTAGCAATGCTTGGGCCAACCCAGTAGGCCTAACCTACTAGGTGAAACTGGGTCTGGACAGATCTCGATGTATCCGAATCTATTCTTCCAAACCCAAAACACAAAAATAAAAATAGGTTTGGTTTTTCCTCAATTAAAAACATTTTTCTTGAAATTTTTCCACGAAAATTTGCAGTAAAGCTCGAAAATGATAGTGACCAAGATAGGCTTTTCAATTTGGTTAAAAAGTAACTTAATTTGAAAAAATTTAGCTCAAAAGCTCATAAACGACAGACGGAGAATCCAAATAGAAAATCGAAAAATTGACAAAGCTAACAAACTGATTTTCTCAAATTGATTGAGAGCTTTCTCAAATTGATTGAGAGCTTTGATCATCTCAAGCCAATGATCCTATTTATAGGCTCAATTTGATCATAAAAGCTCAAAATCACCACCAAATTTGCACTCAAATGATCAATCATCTATTTGGAAATAAAATTCACATTTTTGTAACTTTTTTTAATTTAGTCCATGAACTATTTAATTCCTTACGATCTAGTCCCTAAATTTTATTCCAAAATCTAATCTAATCCTTGACATTTTCAGTTTAGTACTTAAAAGTTTAAATTTCTTCAATCAAGTCCTTAACCTTCCAATATTGACCCCAAACCTTTTTATCCTTTCAATTAAACTCTCAGGTTATAAAATTAACTTAAAATGTTATTAAAATTCTGGGATATTACATATTCAAATATTTTTATTGACATATTTAGTTTTGTTAATTTTTTAATAATTTTTAAATAAAAAGAAGTAGCAATTTATGAAAAGTTCAAAGAACATTTTTTATACTTGGTTTCTTTTCTCTTTTAATTTTCTGAATACAAAGTGTTCATCTACACGCAATCCATCAAAAGTGCCATTCTGGTCTTACTTCCATTTCTTTCTCAGTTAATTCCCTATACTGGTACCACTGTTCTCCACCTTTGCCCACAGGCATAGGAGGCCTAACAAAAATCTCAACTGGCCTGGGAACAAGGACATCCAGAAGCAGCTCTTTTTCTGTATCTTCCAATCTTGCATCCCGAGTTGCACGATATCTGCCAATCGGTTCAACAGCAATCCATCCGAGACCAGATATAGCAACATCACAAGCAGGCCTGCTCAGAAACAGAAAAAATTTACAATAAGGCAAACTTTTAAAGACTATAAAAGATCTAAGATTTGATAATTTAGCTTTAGATGTGATGCATGATAACGTAGAGTGGAAACATAGAATTTTCCCTAACCCCTTTTAGTTGGGGGGAAAAAAAGTTGAATTGAGTTGACCAGTACGGCAAATTTAAAGGACTTGTAAGAAGATATATAAAATAAGAAAGAACAACTTGTTAAAAAAAAAAAAAAAAAAAAGGCTCCCTGCCCTGAAGAGGGTGTATGAGGTCTGTTCTAGCAAATTTATTGCACCAGTAACAATATTTCACCTCTGTGCATCTTCAAATTTTATCTGCAACTGGCGCTTTGTCTCAAGTCCAGTCCAACTGTTCGCCCTCTCTTTACCAGTTGGAGGGGTTAACCGATTTCCTAGCTCTCTCTGCCAAGATAAGATGAATGCCGTTATTATCCAAACAGAAAGGATGGGACAATGCTTTATTGTGTAACCTGAAATTTTTATAAAACAATGTAGATGTGACGCCACATTCAAATATAGTTCTATTCCCATTAATCCATACGCATGCTAAATATAAATTTGAAATGAAACTTCAAACCCACTCCCAGTCCAGTTTGTATGGTGATGGTGTAATTCAGAACATATCTAAGTTATGGACTTTTGGCTCACTGCTTGGCGAGAATGTATAAAGCAAGCTGGAGATTTGGAACCATATCTCCAAGAATAATTAGCTCAGATGGTTGACAGTCAACTTTGGGTCACTCTTGCCTTCGCACACCCTTTTAATAGAGTTTAAGACTATAGTTGCAAAAGAAATATTATTTAGTGAAAAGGTAACTGCAATGATTGCTTTGACAGAAAAGACATAAACATGAGCAACAACAGATGGCAGTGAGGATTTCCATGTTTCTGGAAATTTAAACACACAATGATGTTATATAATTGTGTTTTCCATTATCATGAGTGCTTTTTAATGGTGTTTCCCCCAATTCCAGTGCAAGAAATATTATCAGAGACATGAAATCATCAACCAATATAAATGATATTCAATATTACCAGGTAAAATTCATCTGCTTTATCCGTTGGAACCAAATGAATCTGCAACGCCTTTGGTCCGTAGAAAGTTAAGCACGTCTCTGGGAGTACCTGAAAGAAGTGTAAACTAAACAAGTAGTGAAGTATCCAGAACTGTCTCCCATCAAAAATGTTGAAAATTTGAGGGTAAAAACCTTTAAGACATCAATTCTAACAAGACCTCCCCAAAATATTGAAATCCCATTCAATCCATCTGATCCAATTGTCTCAGCAGTCCACTCGTCTAAGGCTACCTGAGAATTCTAGTTTAGCACAGTAAAAAGACTGCACATAAGTGAAAAGGCTCTAAATACATAGATGCTACAAAAATATTAAGAAAACATACTGGGAATGCCCAGCCCCTAAAGCATTAGATGCTACCAAAAATATTAGGAAAACATACTGGGAATGACCGGCCCCTAAGCCGACTTTGGGGAGCAAGGGCAGGTAAGTCATCTGAATGAACCACTGCAGCTTGCCTGTGGTGAAGATGAACTCCTGGCGTGTCGTATAATTTCTACATGCAAATGGATAAAATTAGAAGCTTTTTAATGTATAAAAGCCAGTCATATTATTGCACTATAAAACTGTGCAACAGCATGACATTTAAAAGCTGATCCAGTTAGTAGCCAGCAGAAGTAAGTCAATATATAAAGTTGACACTTTGAGCAGAAAAAGATCAGGCAGTTCACAGATGAATGCCAACAATGTGTAGGTTAAAAGCACAAACGAAGCAAGCTTTATGGCTTAGATGTAAAACAGAAAACAGAAAGCACAACACGATTGCTGAGAAAATCAACCTAGTTTAGTGAGTTTTAATTTTATTAATTTTTACCATCCAGTAGTTAAGGGGTGCTGCATTTTGGTCATTAGGATTGGTTGTTTCAAATGGTTATTACTTGTCCAACTGGTTTTAAAGTACCTAAAAATCTTGATCTGAAGTGCACAAAATTGAGCTAAAATTTATATCTCATAAGTCTAAAATTTCAGACTACCCTTTTTCCTAGTGAGCTGACAAACTTATGGCCAGTAATATAGTTCTAAACCAGCTTGTTTTTTTAACGGTTGTGTGGGGTTTATGCACACCAACAATACAAGGCTATGAAAGTAGTGATACATCTGATCAAGTTAAAAAAAAGAAAAAAAGAAGAAGAAGAAGTGGCATACCCCTCCTCCCAGAAAAGCATCAATCTGAATTGGACCTAAGGTAGTCCCAGGAACAGCAGATTGTATGGGTTTGTATTTCCGTGCTGCAGCAGCAACTGGGTCCTTATATGACATCATCTCTGCTTTCCAAATGTTCAAAAGAATCAAAACAAGTAAAAAATAAAGGAAAACAATAAATTGGCTTAAGAGGATTAGAAAGTTGACAACAATATATAAAATCTGAATAACAAGAATATGTATCAGAAAATAATCATAATTAAGATTGAGGATTTCACAAAAATGAATTGAATTTGAACCTTCTCAGTGATGACACTAGTAAGAAACAAAATAAATAAATTTAAATAAACCTTTTCAGTGATGGCACTTGTATATAGCATCTATATGATATAACTATGAACTCCAGAAACAGAAAAATGTCCGCAGGCAATGATAAAGGTTCTACAGAATGGAACTGGCAAGAGATGAGTTGAATGCAAAAAATTCATTGATGGCAGATATATGCTTTACTGTCTTTCTGGAGGAGCATTTGATCCTCAGATTGAGAAATTAGTCGATGCTCATATAGGAGAGGCATTAGACTTCAGTAATTCCCAAATTATATGGTTTATAAAATAAAAACATACATCACCTTTCATCTGATTAATTATTGGTTGGGTCGCTTCAGTGAGTAATTAAATTTAAAAGTTGCATTAAATTTATTGTCAAAACAAAAATGAGGGAAAGGTTAAAAAAGAAGAAGAGACCTTAAGGAAAATATACTTTAAAAATAAGATAAAATAATATTCATACAAATCTCTGATCAGCACTTGATTATGACATGCTACAGATCCTAACATGTAGCCCTATATGGAATCCTAACATTTGACAGCACAAAATCATACCATTGTAAATTCACCATGCACAAAATCATACCATTGTTAATTCACCATGCACAAAATCATACCATTGTTAATTCACCATGCACAAAATCATACCATTGTTAATTCACCATAAGTTCATGTTTCTAGACAAAGAAGTGACTTTATTATGTATACAATATATTGATTCTCTATATGCGGCACAAAAATGTGGAAGCACTTCTCTAATTGACTCCTGATTGACATTGACTGACACTGAAGCACCACTCTCTTATACATATGCACCTACACACTGTTTTGCAACCTTGTTGGCAAGTCTCTTTTCTTTTTTCTTGTTGTACATAATTCTATGCTAGTTGGATTTTCTTTGTAAATAATGACTATTATGATGTTGCTCTTTGGAATAAAATCCTATGAAGATATACCAAAAATAGATGCAGAGACTTGACTTACTCAGAAGTGCATTGATGAATGCAGATTTTCCTACATTAGCTGAGCCCTGAGAGAAGGATACGGTTTGAATCAAATTTTCTTTTTCATACAATAGATTAATCATTACTTTAATAGTAAATATATAAATGTTTCTAGAAAATCAAATCGCATGCATACAATCTCAGAAAATAGATACAAGCAGAGAAATGATAAAATTGAACAGACATCCTGGTGCAGTAACCTTAGAACTCAACATGTCTGTGTTGTGTAAACAGAACTCTGATATCTGATAGAGAAATTTACATGCATTTGCATTTCAACATAAAACAATAGCATCCCAAGACTTTCCCACTAAAGAGCAAAAGAAATTTGGCTAAATTGAGCAGTTTGGAGAAATTGTGTGGTGGAAAAATAAAGCCCTACAGCGGCCAAAGATATAGGTTGATGGAGAAGCTCCAGAACATTTATGATAAAAGCATTATGCTGGTTGAGCAAGGCCACATTTGGGAGAGGCAAAAAGAATGGATTCAGAAATGGACTCAAGAAGCCTCTGATCTGTTTAACTTCCTTTGGACCTTTCCAACAGCTACAACCAATATATTGCAGTATGATCCCACGTGTAACCGTGACAAGTGAATGGGCTAAAAAGAGTGGATAATGTCTGCCATATCTCCACACTCACTTGTGGAATCACAATAAGTTTCCTTCCTAGGATAAAATGTGAAGTGCCATTCCAAAACCCATATAATGAACCACATCAGGCTCAAGTACAAAGTTATCGATCAAGTTACTAGAAATTCATCCTTACTTCATAGCACATTGGTAATTCTTTTAACTCTTCATTCAGAACTAAATAGATCTCTATTTTAAAAATAAATGTTTCTGGACTATGTTATCTAGATGAACCTAGCAAACAAATTTTCCCACTTCTTTTTATGTCTCATCAATTGCAGTTAGTATGATAGAGAAAGGGTCAAGATAATAGAGCAGAGACCATGCTTGAGTGATGCTTAGCCTCACTGAAGGTAAATCAAGCAAAATCAGAAATGCCATGACAAAAGGTTGAATATTCTACTTAAGAATAACAGTAAATTCTCAATAATGCTTTGTAAACTTATTCAAGTTTTGAAGTGAAACCAACTTACCAAAATGTATACATCTCGTCCCTGTATGGAAAATGCCCATTGTCAGTAATTTTCTCCAAAGAAAGTTAAAATTTCGAGAGAAGCATCTATAAAGTTGGTACACTTAATCTTGTATAGAAATTCAAAATTGCCCATCCTTGCTATGTGTATACATATATGAAAACATGGGGTACCACTATGTAAAGGAAAAGGAAATATTCCAAAGATGAACAAGATATGAGTTTAGTTGCATAACTAATTTCTAAAGAAAATTAAGATAGGTATTCCAAATGCCAGCATTAGGGTGATCATTTATTGATAACCAATAGGAACAGGCTGGGCAGGTTATTTTTAAACCATATATATACATACAGATTAAAAAAAGGGTAGGCGAAACCTTTTTCTCCCTTTGGATTTCAGATATAACACCGGCAATTCCAACCAGAGACTTCGAACTTGTGAGATGCACACTCAGAACACTGTAAAATTTAAAGATTCACCCTCCATATATTACTTTCATAATTAAACACTTAAAGACTTGATTAGAAAAGGGAAAAAAATGTAAAAAGTGCAGTATTTACTTGAGCTTCTTCTTCATTGTAGCTTCCACAACCCAGTCACCAACACAATTAAGGTCAGTTCCTTTAGGAAGGAGATCAACCTGAAGAAAAGTTCTTAAGTCAAAACGTGTATCTGCAACTTGTCAAAAACCACATAATGAAATAAAATGATCAGAGAATTAATTAATGTACTTGTCACCTTAGTTACAACCAATATTATTGGGTTTGCACCAGCAAGATCACGCACACGGGCCAAAAAACTCCCATTAAAGTCCAGTATATCAACCTAAGTAAGATCACAAATTGATAAAGAGAAGTACATAAAAATAAATAGTGAAATAAAATCTTAACAGAAGTCCTAGAAGGATCATTTTTTATATCCTGAAAGTGCAAGTTCAAAGAAAAGTTACCATAGTAACTACATACAGAAATTATGGATAGATAACCTTACCAATTTAACAATCAAAGCTTTCTCATGGCGCAAGTGTGATAACTTTTCACGAAGTTCCTCGGCTGAGACAAACTGCTTCCCACCAGAATAACCTCCATTTCCACCAACGGCAGTGATCATTTGCCCATGAGACAATAGCCGGCACCTTCCACAGAGAACTGCTCTAAGTTGCCTGTGTTTCTTTTTCTGCAACCCAATACAAAAAAGGAGCAACAGGTTACCAAACTCGCACCAAGTAACACATTACAGGTTATAGAATACCCAACTCCCTATCAGAATTGCTGCTTGTATTCTCATAACACCTCAAGCCTCTATAATACTTTGCAATGCTCACACACAGACACATGCATCACATAAACAAACTCAGTGCTGAATCACCATTTACAGCTAGTCTCCCCAAATGTCATGTCCTTGTCACGTCAATTTGGCCCCGTGCAATGTGTAACACTGAAAATTCCCTAAGGCTATATTTGATATTATGGAGCGGAAAGGGAAAGAAGGGATATTGTAGGAAAGAAAAGAAAAGGAAAGGAAGGAATATGTTCCTTTCTTTTTTTGTTATTATCCAATGGAAAAGAATGAATGTTTCTCTTCCTTTGTTTGGTTTCATCAATAATCGAAACAATTGTAAATAGATGTTGTAAGGACTCAATTGAATGAAATTAAAATTCTAGAGTTTCTGAAAAATGTTTGGTCGAAAAAATTCAAAATTCAAAATTCAAAGACTAATATGAAGATCTGAAAACAATAGGGACCAGATTGAAAGAGGAAAGAAATCTTGAGGGACCAACTTGCAAACCAACAGATTTCACTATTCATCTCCTTCCTCCTTTCGCCAACAATAGTAATAGTTGGTAAGGCTCCTCAAATTCAACATCTCCTGGTCTGGTTGGTTGACCAGAGATTTTTATTTGTTTTTGGTCTGTTTTTATTTGTTTCTAGTTTGGTCAGGCAAGCTTTGCTAGAGCTTCCCCTGCAATGATTCTTTCTATGCATAGCCTTCCCCCTACTGCAAACTGCTGATAGAGCCGACGAGGGAGCCGATGTCACCTACCTGCCTCTGTTGCAATCCATGCCTAGCAACACACCGAAGGGAAGAAACTTCATTTGTTGCAATCTATGTTCAGCAACAAACAGATGGGGAGAAGTTGTGTTCAGAGGAGAAAACCCAGACAAGTCAGAGAGTTGCGCCTTCCCTTTCCCTCCCAATCCACCCTCCAACAGACAAACAGGGAAAAGATGGAGCCCACGGAAACTTTATTACTCCAAATCTCTTCCTTCCTTTTGTAAAATGGATATAAACAAGAGAGTATCTCAATCTTTAGCCCCCTTGCCTTTCCTTCCATTCAAAATTGGACACCAAACATAGCTTAAGTGCCCCTACATCACATGTGCAAACACATAAACATGTGGCTTATCCAAAGATGGCCGAATGAATTGCATTTTTTGGATCTCAAGCACTTCAAGCAAGATAGGGGTTGCCTAAGACAGTTGCAATACCACCCCCTTCAGATGTCAAGGACTAATATAAGTGCCTAAGTTAGATCATGGTAGACTGCAACAAAAGGCCTATTGCGCTTTGTGCTTGTCACTATGTCATGGCATTTGGGATCCAAGGTCCAAAATATCCAGATATACAAGTCAATACCACTATATTTCCTATTAGGTGATCTATAATTTTCTGAAACTCAAAACAATGTCCAAAAATGGATCAATAATATTAATAATAAAAATCCAAATCTAATCAATAATGAATAATAGGGAAAAAAATGATTTACAAACCAATATGAAAGCCAAATGTGCTTTACAACTTAGAATCAAAAAAATCTATTTAAACCCTAACAAGTAATCAAAACAAACTTGACTTCTCTTGCACCAATTTATCCCAGACCGTTGGAACATCTCTAACCCTTCACCCTAGGGCAACTAGAATTAGTTGTTGAATGATTGATTTTTGTCAGAAGTGGAAATCTCCAGTCCTAGGATGATGGCCAAACGCTTTCAAAAAGCCCTTGATTAGTCTTCAATGACAATTTTCTGAATCTGGATGATTTGGATGCTTTGAAGGAGACTCCAAGCGTCCCTTTTATAACCCCAAGGAGTTCTAGGAGGTACAAGAGTTCTTAGAGGGCTTAGAAACCCTAAAAATCCTAGAAAATCTCAAAAATCTTGCTGTGGAGCACCATAGCAGATTCTGGCACACTATAGCGCACTAATTCCAGTCCCCCAATTATAATAACTGCTATAGTAATTTTTTTCCCCCAAAACCCTCTTGCACCCAAACTTCCAAATGATTGTTATTCAACTATAAACCTTTCAAAGGTCCTCCTGATCATACCTCCCCTTGTTATTAGGAACAACTCCTGATGGTTCTTAAATCCGTTGGTGCGGGTAATGGGCTGGTTTGGAATTTGAAATGAGATGTTTTGTTTGTGCTTAGGCTTCCTTGGAGCCCGATGTTGGGCTTTGTGAGCCTTGAATCTTCACCGGGTTTTGGACTTCCCTCTTAGTTTCTTTTGATCCATGCGCCGGTTTTGACCCATATGTTGTGGATTTGGACAAATGTCCAGCTCATCTTTGCCATGGATGGATTCTTGTGGCTGGACCACTATTGTAAGGCACTGCCATTTTGTGTTGGCTGTCACCATCTCCCCATCTTGTTTTAAAGCATCCCTACAAATTATGAATGTTTTACCACCCTTCTTGATGTGATGCTTCTGTTCTCAGCAATGGTAGATGGCATCTCTCTCCCGTAGGTAAGAGCTACCAAGGATGATGTGGCATACGTCAACTAGTACCATATTGCATACTACCTTATCAATGAATTATTTGGTGATAGCAAAGCAAATCTTGTACTGCCGCTCAACCTTTTTATCCACATCATCATGTATCCATCTCAAAGTATAAGAGTGAGGATGTGGCATTGTCTCCAATCCCAATCTCTCCATGAAACTTATAGAGATTAGGTTTTGTCTCGCTCCCCATGTCAAAGATGGTGTTGATGACCTCATTCTTCACTTGTACTTGCACAGTGAACATCTCCTCCTTTACCTTGGGCAGTGGCAATGAGCCGTGTTTTGTCCCCTTCGGCCGGCCTATCAAGGACAAACTCAAGTCCATGTCAGCCATATTCCCTTCCTCAACAACTTCTCCAACTATGACAGTGGCAGTGGTTCGTTTCTGTTTCTTATCCTTTTTCCATTCTTTTGGGAGTAACTTCTGATGAAATTTCCAATATGCTTGCTCATCATGCCTTGAAATTTTGCAATGAGTACAATATTTGTTAGATTTTGAGGGTTTTGAAGCTAAGTTACCCTTCTTGTGTTGGAATTCGGGTTTCTTCTCATTGTGAACCCGATTCTTCTTTTCAATAGCCATACAGATGCTGCTGGCCTCAAAGAAATTACAAACACAAAAGAGACTCAATTCTATCTTGATTTTCTCATGAAGTCTGGAAATATACTTGGTGTGGATTGCGAAATCCACCAATGATACTCCAAGGATCATAGCCTACCTCCGGAACTCTATGGTGTAATCCTGCACCGATTGCTCCTTCTTTTGTTGGAGTTGGTACCATTGGTTCCATCAGTCTTCAAGGTAACCCACTAGATAGAATTCCTTTCAGATGAGGTTTTTGAATTATTTCTAGATGAGATCCTCCACATTCTCATTTCTCACCATAGCTTTCTACCAAGTCTTTGGATGGCTTATCATTTTCAAAGGTGTATAGACAACCTTCTAAGTAATGGTGAACCTTTGGAGGGTGAAGTAGGTCTCCAATTGGTCCAACCATGAATCCAATTGCTTTGGATCCATTGTGCCGTCATAGATTGGTTTTTCCACATTGGCTTCCACTTTGAACAATTTTCAAGCCAAGGTAGTTGTACTCAAATTATTATCATTGTCATCGTCACCCTTGCTATTGTCCAGTCCAGTGTCTTGCCCTTTTACCAAGGCCAATGTAGTGATGTTCTCTCCATTTGGAGGCATTGTGGATTGGCATTTAATCTAGTCAAGTACCATCGCCATGTCCACCAATAGTTTTGCGACTTGCTCAGCTAGACTAGCATTGTTGTCAGCCATTTGATTTGTTGGAGGTTGGGCTGCTCAGTAACTATAACACTCAAAGACATTATTTGGTTGCTTTGTACCCAAATTTGGTTTACACCATCCACAGACAAGGAACGATGTTTTGATACCAAAAATATGATCTATAATTTTCCAAAACATCAAACAATGTCCAAAAATGGATCAGTAATATCAATAATAAATATCCAAATCTAATCAATAATGAATAACAGGGGAAAAAACTAATGCGCAAACCAATATGAAAGCCAAAAGTGCTTTACACCTTGGAATCAGAAATACCTATTTAAACTTAACAAGTAATCAAGACAAACCCGACTTCCCTTGCACTAATTTATCTCAGACATTGGAACGTCTCGACCATTTACCCTAGGATGACTAGAATCAATTGTTGAATGGTTGATTATTGTCAAAAGTGGAAATCTCCAATCTTAGAATGATCACTTAACGCTGTCAAAAAGCCTTTGATTAGTCTTCAATGAGACTTTTTTGAATCTAGATAATTTGGATGCTTTGAAGGAGACTCCAAGCTTCCCTTTTATAACACCAAGGAGTTCTAGGAGGTATAGAAGTCCTTAGAGGGCTTAGAAACCCTAAAAATCATGGAAAATCGCAAAAAATTTTCCTATGGTGTGCTGTAGTGGGCTCTAGCATGCTAATTCTAGTGACCAATGCGCGACAATGGGCTCCAGCGCTACAGCACCAACTACAATAACTGCAACAGTAACCTTTTTTTTCTTTTCAAAACCCTCTCGCACTCAAACTTCCAAATGAGTATTCTTCAACCACAAACCTCTCAAAGATCCTCCCAGATCATTAGGCCAGCCTAGTGCATCACTCCTATCTACCATCAGAGCTATTGGAGCTTAAGGCTGTATAGCTAAGGAGGAACTTGTCCTAGTTTCCAATACAAAAAAAAAAGATTTGACACTTCGTATAAATAATCAATCATCATGCACATTCTCCATGGCTTTTCATAATATTTCATATTTACTTGAGCTTAGACTAAATAAGATTCTCAATAAATTAGGAAATAAATTTTAATGAAGCTTTTTGCTTTTTGCCTTTATATAATTTGGTTTTCCGCTATGAACAATCAGCCTGTATTGTTATGAAGTAGAGAATTTGAAGAACATAATTAGTTTGTGAGAATCTTTGCCACTGGATTGAACTTATTCATGGTCATTTCATTCTACACCATTCTTCTTCATCCTTGGTTATGTGGACCAACGGTGATGCTCTTTTGGTGTACTCATACATAGTGCTAGGATAGAGAGCATTTCCTCGTATTGCAACCACGGATCATTCATTACTGCACGTGTGTGAGCGCATGCTTGTAAATACTCCATCTCCCTCACAAATCTCCTCCCCTGGCACACCTTTCTGATGTACTAGCCATGAACAGTCAGAGTAGCAGGTACTAACAAGGATGCTATCGAGTAATACCACAAGACAATTGCAAAAAAATAAACCACGAATTTGACAAATATATTGCTATGGCAGTGAGCAGGCTCCACAGCTAACGTTTTCAGAGACCAGAAATAATTACAAACATCTGGTACGCATAGCCTTTTCGCTTCATCAATCTTGAACTTGGGAATATCCACAACATACACAGGTATCACAGCCCCGTTTCCCATTCCATTCTCTTGAAAAGTAGATTGTCACAAACATGTATGCATTGTTTCAGGAGGAAAACAGATCAAATTTTAAATGCTCCACAACCAATTACAACCATCCAGAAAGGAAAGTTCCTTACAAGTTCATACGTATCTGGATCCACATAACCAGGAGCATCTGTTTCTAGAGTCTGCAAAGGAGCTCCGCATCCATAACAGCTCGGGACAGCCGTGGAGAACTTCGTAGACCCACTAACTTTCCCTTTCTTATTCTTCGTCTTCTTACCCGCCGCAAGCACCATGGCTGAAGCAGCCAGAGATTTTTGGTGTTCCAAGAAGACCTCCCCTCTTGTTGGCGCAGCCGCTCCATTCCCTTCGGGTTCCGGAGCCGAAACTGATAAATTGTCGTCAAACGTTAGCGTATGTTCATCGGAGTGAGATCCTACAGAACTGCAAATAACAATGCCTGGTTTTGACAGGCAAAATCTTAGAGCAGTACGGGTAGGGCCTGTTAGTTGGTGAGGAATAGACGGCGGATGGAGAGAGGAGAGGGAGGAGAGAGAAAGAAGTTTGGGCGCCATTGACGGCTGTAATGAAACGCTGAAAGGGATAACGTTCTCTCAGGGTTCCCTTTAAACTACCATTTCCTCTTGAGGTAAGTCCTAAATAGTACCCGCACTCCTGTATGGTTTGTTTAAATTGGTCCCTAACTTGTCTGACGGAATAAAGCGCCATTTGCTAACGAGGACACTGGCGGCTTGGGTTGATTAGGGATGTTGAAACACTTGCACCCATGTTCTAATAAAAATTTATTACCTATATTTATATTCGAAAAAAAAAATAGTTACTCATCCATATTTATATTTATTTAAGTATAATTTATCTATATTCTTAATTCTTACCCATATCTAAATGGCTAAAAAATTATTCTCCATGTACATATCTATTTAAATACTATTTAAAGAACTATATTTTAATTTTAAAATTAAAATTAAAATTAAAATCAATAATTTTTATATTAAAATAAAAAATTATTATTGCTTGTCTAATTAAATAAAATTAAGTAATACCAAAATTTGTATCCACTCTGGCTTCTTTACATACTATTAATAGTATTCTAAAAATAATATATATATATATATATATAACTACTAATTAGAGAAATTATTAACTTTCAATACATTTAAACTTCACTTACATTTTGGTATCTATTGTTATATTATAATTTTTTGAGACTTGAGCCTTTAGCCTTGAGCCTTGTAACAACTTCATCACTATATTGTTGGAGTGACAAACACATATAATTTATAATTTATAATTTATAATAATTAATTATAATCATTTTATTATTTATTAAATACCTAATACCGTAACTACTAAAGTTTATTTTTATCATTATAATTTAATTCTATTACATGTTATTTTTCAATTTAATGATTATATATTTTCATATAAACGGTCAAAATCTTTTTTTTTTTTGTAAAATATTGTCTTTTGATCTTTAAAAAAACTTTGAAGTTCTAAATATTATATGTCTTATGATACTCAAACCAAAAAAATATATTTTTTTTTATATCCACATGTATGTGTGTGTGCTTGAAAATTTGAATATATAAGTATAAATGAATAAGTATATGAATATGATTATTTAGATACTCAAATATTATTATATAAAATATTATATCTGAACACTACCCAAAAAAAAATACAAGTTGTCATAAAATATTTCAACTAATATTACATTTACGATGTGTGCAGCCTTTACATCTCCTCAGTTAAATCTCTTATCATACATGAATGTAGCCAATCAAATACTTTCATTTTGTCCAGTGAACTCACCATCGATTAATGTAAAATCACAGAACATAGAATTTTACTGTTATTTATATAGAATCAAATGAATGAAATTTAGATGTGATACCCTATTAATTAAACTAGATTGATTTTTTTAATTTATAATTAATTGTTTAATTGAGAATAGTACATAATAAAAAAATTCTAAGTTGTCGGCTTTTTTTTTATTTTTTTTTTATGGTGACTTCACGAATCTTCGTTCAGACTCTTAAATTTCAATAACCATTATTTATTAAATCTTGCAATATATATATATATTGAAACTTAATTTTTCAATAACTATTCAGACACTCTTGACGGGAAGACTCATTTAATCTTGTAACATACATTTATTATTTATTTATTTCAATAAGTTCATATACCTACAAGTGCTGGTTTTATTGTGCTTCTGCATAAGAAGGTACGTACATATCTAAGAATCTTAGAGATTATAAATATAATTTTAATTTTAATTTTAATTTTTTATGAATAATTCAAATTGTATTTATATTCTATAAAATGGATAGATGCAAAATTAAAATTTATAATAGAAAAATATGACCAACATTCTATGCTACGTGGTGTTTATTAAATAAAATTAAATATAAAAATAATAATATATAAAATTGCTGAATAAGATTGTGTCTTAATAAGCCAGTATGAAGATGGTTAGAATCTTGGAGTGTGTGCAGCAGATGTGGCATCCACCTTTTCCAATAGTACGATTAATTCTCGAGCATACCGGTATAACTATTAGTAATCCTAACAGCCCGTTACTTAATTTTTGTGAGTATCCATCCTTCATTCCGTTTTCCTTCCATTAGCGTTTCTTCCCCCCTTTTTGGCTGTTTTTAAATTTTTTTAAACGCAAAAACGTTACAGCCCTCTCTTTTCTTCTTTCAAATTTCCTTTATTTTCCTGATTTGAGATCTTCTCACAGTTTTTTCACCTATTTTGATTGCTTCTTGTTGCTAATTTTTGAAACTCAAAAAACTTATCTATGTTTAGTGTTTTTAGTTGAAATATTGGAGCTTATGATGAATTTTTTTGTTTTTAGTCATTTGGTTTTAAATGGTTGAGTTAATTGTCTCTGCTTTGTTTTGTTCTTCCTATTCCAACTAGGTTATGTTACATTTTAGATATTGCTTTTTTTTCTTGTTTATGGTTTGCTCTTCATTTGCTCAAGGTTTTGTGAGTTAGATTAATGTTGTTTATCTAACCCATCTTAGAGGGCATGGATGTCATGAAAGAGAAGCTAGTGAGATAATTCTTTTATAATTTCCTCTCCTATTTGGTTTTTGTTTTGGTAATCTGAGTAATAAATTTTACAAATTTATCGGTTTTAAATGAGGGAAAGCAAATTGCCAAAAAAATGCCCCACATTTACAAAGTCCCTTGCCTTAGAAAATGTATGGTCAGTGCAATGCAAAAATTTAGGCAACCATGGCTTTATGAATTGCAACAGAGTTGATGCTGTTTATTCAATCTAATTGAAGTCCAAGGTTGTCTGATGCTTATGAGGATTTTTTCTTTTGAACTTTATTCTTATTACATTCTCTTACTACTCATGAAAATGTTGCAAATGGCAAAGGTTTCTGCAATATATTAGACTCTGGTTTAGAACTTTGATTTTTGCAATATATTGATCTCTGCCTATGATTATTTGTTATTCTTGAACACTGATGGTGACAATAGGGATCTAAAGTTTTAAAAAAGAAAAATTAGTTCACAATTTATAGTGCACATAAATCATTTAGATATTTGATTTGATTTTGTCATTCATGAGTTGCATATTATGCAATTACAGTTTAGACAATTGACTTCTGCTGGCTTCCATGTGAAGCATCTTTCCTAAGAGCATAGACTTGGAATATGACTACTTTGCTTTTGATAATAGTTGATAACTCTAGTTTATAATAACTCTAGACTTGGAATATGCTTGTAGTATGTTCTATTTAGTATGCAAGCCAATCTATATGTGTCCCTTTGTGCTTCGGATGCAATCTATAGTATCAGTTACATGTTTGTATATTTTTCTATTTTGGGTAGCTTATGAATAATTTACACGTTACTTATTTTTTTTAGTATGAAGCATAATTGTACTTCTTATTTATTTTCTACCATTTTTTTTAGTAAGAAGCATAATTATACTTCTTATTTATTTTCTACCATTACCTTTTTCTTGTTCTATGGACCATATGATTGGTAACATTATTTCTTTCCCTTTTTGGTAAGATGATAAGGCTAGAACAATTAAGATGGACTAATAGTATAACAACATAGCAAAAGCATAGAACTACAAGGCAAAGGTATTGTGGATTGGTATAGAATGAGAATGAGTTTGGTTAATGTGTAAAAAAAGCCATAATTATGCTAATAAGACTAAAAAGTGTGTAAAAGGTGTTACCTAATGAAAGGAATACCAATAAATGATCCTCTTAAAAAGGATGTGGCGAAACATATTAGTCTTGATTTGACAATGTTAAGTCAACATGAATCACATGAAAGAAAATGCTTGGACTTATAATAGGTCTCTTGTGTTCACCCACATAACATGTTGTGCATATTCTTTTGCATTACACTTGACATACTTCCTTAACCCTCTATAATTTTCCTAATCCTATATGACTACTCACTTCACATACTTCCTTAACCCTCTATACTTTTTCTACTCCTATATGACTACTCATTATTGTGAGATGATGAAATTATTCAAGTGCAGAATTTTCCTTTGACTTCTTTTCCTTATTGAGACAAGATATTTAGATGCTTCACCAATTGTGGTTAAGCTTTTTGTTTACTTATTCAATTTGGGCCTTCAACGAATTTTACCAAATTCCATGTTCTTTGCTTTTGCATTCTTAGTGTTTGTCAACGATGTCAATTTTATGCTTAGATTTAGTGATGGTTCAATAAGCAACCATGATCAATGTGAGAATATTAATGTGACACCTTACTTTGCTGGTAAATATATCTACAACTGGTGGAATACTAAGATGGTTTTTGATTAAACACACACACACATATTTATATTTATATATTTTTGTTTAGCTTTACAAAGAAGAGAAACTAAGAGTTAGAGAGTGGGAGTAAAATAATGAGTGGGACAATGGAAGGTTTGACTTTTTGTGCATAATTTAGAATATTTCTTTTATTCCCACTCCCTTTCCCAATATTGCACTCCCATTCTTTCTCTCCTTATTTTACACCTCCTCTCGTACTCTTTTTCTCACTCCAACTTGATATCTTATGACACTCCTTATTTTTGTTAAGTGTATATAAAAGAAACATAAGTGTTATCAAATGCAATTTGTGTAAATAAATCACATTCCAACCTTCTATATCTTATGAAATTGATTGTGTGATTATATTGACACTAATTAAATACTTTTCTTAATTTACCAATGCTACAAACTTGTTAGGCCAGATCCCTTGAACATTACAACTACTACAATGGCCACATTGACTTTTCTCATCATGACGATGACACATTGTATAACGTAATAGATGATGTCAACCCTACATACTGGAAACATTGGAAAAAAATTTATTGGTGCACAAAGGGATTGGTTGTCCAATTTAAAATACAGGAAGCCCAGAAAAAAAAAAAAAAAAAGAAAAAAAAAGAAGAAGAAGATAGGATACCATCAATAATCGTTTGTAACCCAAGAGTAAACTACTCTTGCAAGCATTTTTTACAAAAAGTAGAAAATAAAGACATCCTAGATTGGACAAAAAAGAATGTTAT